TATATTCTGACGACGTCGTTTCTTGGCAAGAAAAGCTGAGTGGCGCAGCGGAAGCGCGCCGGGCTCATAACCCGGAGGGCAATGGATCGTGAGTTGAACGCACACAGGTCGAAAATCTGCCTCGTACTAATTCATAGCAGGAAACCATTCTCAGCTATAAAATCTTCTTTTGCAGATTCGGCTATCTCGTTCTATCTAGAACGGGGTGAGATATTTTTTGCTCGATACGGCTTCTGGATTTGGTGGGTACATGCCGGTAAGCAGGAGGGCCCGGGGTGCGAGACTTTCCTGTGGAGCAAATGAAATGGGTGTTTCGCTCAAAGTCGCTTCTCCGCAGTCATGCCAACTCCACGTCCTCTGTCAGACTACATGTAAGGTTTGTTGCCGCTCATTAGCATACCTCGACATCCACTGCGACATCAACACTGGCGGATCGTGGCGATACACATCTGTACCTTACCTTGCGTGCATGTAAGGTACAACTCTACGGAAATCCCAGAACGGCTAGCTCGTTGAGGTTCATGTTTGGGATTTCTGTTTGACCGAAGCCGTTGTGTTTCGCCATCATCAGAAGCAGACAGAGACCCAAACCTTGTGGCGAACAAATTGAGCAGAGTACAGCCCCGTGGGGATCATGACAGTATGTTCATAGTATGCGGAGACACAGTAAGAAATGATGGAAGTGCGATCAATGGTATTGCGCAAGACCCACGCCTCCGGTAGCACAGACGGGCCACCACATATGCGGCGAAAAAGGTGGCTCGGGTACCAGAAGACGCGAGCATCACGCATCTCACCGGGACTGCCATGCCCCGGGTAAACGTCACGACCATATCCTTGGGCCTCCTCCGCGTTCGAGGAACCGATGCGACGTTACAACCACGCCCTCCTCGTCTATTCCAGACCTCCTGTACATCTTCACCAACCCGAGGCCTAGAATCTCCCTTCGAACAGGGGTTTGTCCATATACTCTTCTCATACCGACCTTCACCGCTCCCATATCCTCAGTGGCACACGCCTTCCAACCAAGGCTCTCGTGATAGTACCCTTTGCGCGCTCGTAGCGGGCCGCCTCTAAGCCACTCCACGAGCCGATCAACCCTTGACCAACATCTTTACCGTCGTTACCGCTACGCTGTCTGTCTGCCCTGGCGTTGTCAACGACACTCCAATACTTTCGAACCCAAGCCGAGGCATACGTTGGTCGTGCCTTCCTCAAGCAGCAAGCCACCAGCTCAGCGTACCTGTATGCGTCATTCACTGAGAAAGCACACGTAAGCTATCAATAACATCGATTAACACCTCACTGCCCGTGACTCTTGTGCCAGACACCTTTTGATCTTCTCCACCTAAATCGCGTGCGCATTTGGGTTTTGGTACTGATCTTCCTTCCTACAGCCACCTATCACAGCCACAAACCCAGTCG